TCTGCCCAATTCATCTGGAAATGTTCCGGCATCATATATTTTGTTGATAATTTCTGTTAATCTATCAACACCATATTCCTCTAATGCTTTAAACATTTCAGTGACCACACCATCTGGTCCAGCTGCTTTGTTCTTCTGCATCTTTGACATTGCCCAACGGACTTCAGATTTAAGAATTTTCTCCCCTTTGACTTCATCTGCAAAACTCGGCATTGCTTCCCTACTATCCTCAAAAAGTTCGCCAATGTATTGCATCCACCTACTCATTTTGTCCTTCATTTCAAACAGGATTGATCCATCTTTTCCTTTGATACAGCCAGCGTTTGAACAACCAGACTTTTTTTTCCTGAAATCTCATTTATTCTTTGGTAAACATTACTATTCTTATCGAAATGATTTTCAATTTCTACACATTGTTTGTCTAGCCAGCTCTCTTTTGCCTCATTACATTTTTGCCTAATTTGTTTGTCTAGGTCCCTATATTTCTTGCATTGTCTATTTCCAATTTTCTGTCTATCTTTCATCATTAAAAGAATCTCCTCTGTCATCCATTTGTTCCTTCTTTTTCTCTCTTTCGTCGGCACATACTCTTCCGCTGTTTCTACCAGAATATTTCTCATCGTCTCCCACGTGTTTTCTTCACCTTAATCTATGAGCAACTCAAACCTATTCTTTACTTGTACAGTAAATTCTTGACGTATGTCCGGTTTACTCAACTGTTTAAAATCCAATATTTTCACAACTTTTGGTCTCTTGAGTTTCTTTAATTTGTACTGAAGTGTACATATCACCGGCACATGATCACTCCCGCAGTCAGCCCCTGAATACGTTTTTGATTGTTTCACTGCTCTTTTAAATCTACTATTTATGGCAATATAGTCTATCTGGTTTCTGACGATGTCGCCAGGACTCTTCCAAGTGTATACTCGTCTAGGGTGTTCTTTGAACCAAGTATTAGTGATGACCATGTTCTCCCCCTCACACCACTGAACCCATCTGTCCCCTCGTTCATTCCTTTCACCAATTCCATGCGGATCTACTGCTTTGCCCTCTGTACCTTGACCGACTTTAGCGTTCAGGTCTCCCAGGATAATGACAATATGCCATTTAGATTTAGCTTTATCTAAGGAATCGTAAAAGGTGTCAATAACGTCGTCAGCACTATCTGCCGTGGGTGCATAAACCACTATGATTGAGATGTTAAAAGGGTGTCCCTGTTGTTACGATATACGATATCCGATATATCCGGTATCCGTCGTAGTTCAATAAAGATGTTCACCATCATCACAAACCTGACTGCCGACTCGTCTATTATCATGAGTATCTACCAAATCTAAGACCCTCGAACTCATCATGGTGGCAGCTGCTGGGATCTTCGAAATCAAGTTTGATTTTTGAAGACACAATTGATCCAGTTCACGACAGTTGGGAAGTATAATTAGCAAAATTATCGTCGATTAGCGATTTGTCACGTCGCACTTTTTCGTATGCATAGTACGTGCACCGTACATACAGCACAGTGTACCGAGACACTGATGCTACTGCATAATCCCGATGAACTCGTACGTGAATGGTGATGTGTGTATGAGCATATAAAGGTTCATAAAGCCTGCTCAGAATAGCCTAATCCAGTTATAACTGTGCTCAATCACTGACACAGGGGTCTGCATAATAACTAAACTAGTAAAGTTTAAATCTAAAATTAAACTAAATCAGAGGTGTGAACATTAAACCTGTTTTCAGATAATATTAACAATAATATCTCGTGTGTGAGGAATTGTCACTGTCGGACATATTGAGTGAGAGTGATTAACATTTTCATTGCATGAGACACCTAATGACATTCACACAGGTGTGAGAGCGTACACAGGTATACGTGTACGAACCTTATCAACACCAGCCGGTTAGGACCTGTTCACACTAAGATTAACAACACAAAGATTTACACTCATTCATATAATCTGTCGTAACCAATACGCACACGCAAACATATACAATGAGTACTAAGTATCCAGAAATGAACTGGGAGGTACCAGACCTGCCCGAAAAATTCAAGCTATTCAAGCAGAGACTGGAGCTTGTGTTGGCAGATCAAGAAGTAACTGAAAACAAAAAAAAAGGCTATAAAAATAAAAATCGCTGTAGGCAACGAAGGCTTGCGCCGCATCAATGCGTCTGGGCTATCAGAGGCCGACCAAGAAAAACCACAAGAACTGTGGAAATTATTTGAGAAACAAATAAAGGTAAACATTAATTTTCGGGTCCATCGTCTCGAGCTGATGCGATATCGGCAGAGACAAGATGAGAGCATTGACGCATTCGTTACTCGATGTAGAGACAAAGCTAACACATGCGATTTTGAGGAATCCGAACTTGCCGAGCGGATAATGGAGGTAGTCATCACCTCAACACCAAGTCTAGAATTCCAGAAATTCCTATTGGACCAGCCTAAAGGATATCAAATCGAAGCAATTCTAGTAGAGGGTCGAAAATACGAGGCAGTTGCGGCGAGCAGAAAATGCCTAGAAACGCTTGAGCCGGCTAAAGAAAGCATAGATTCGTTCAAGCGGAGCCAGGGACGAAAGACGTGTGGAAACTGTGGACGTATCCACAAACCTCGTCAGTGCCCTGCGTACAACGATGTGTGTCGTGCCTGTGACACAAAGGGCCATTGGGCCAAGTTCTGTAGAAAGGCTAAGAACGATCGTAGTCGAAAACCAGATCGTAGATCAGATGACCATAAGTCTGATGACCGTAAACCGAAACACGGTAACCAATCACGATCAAAATCAAAGGGTCGAAAGTATAAACCGATTAGTGAAATGGACACTGAACATGATACTAGCACAGATCATGAACATCAACAATCAGCAGGTCCATCAAACTTCGAACATTTTGACACCATACACACGATCGGACCACACACAGTGATCAACTCAAAGGGTACAGTAGCTTTTGCAAACATTGACATCATATGCCCACAGAAATCAGGTCAGCATTACCTATATCTGAAGATAGACTCTGGGGCAAGCGCTAATACTATCACAGTACGCACAGCCAAACAAATATATGGTGACAAGTGGAGGCGAGTAGTGAAACGTACACCAGTAAAGCTAGTAGCATATGGCGAAATATCAATACCATGCGTTGGTACACTAGACATAAAGTGTAGATACAAGAGTCCAGAATGGTATAAACATACATTCTACGTAGCAGACGTGAATGGACCAGCTATCTTAGGGTTGTTAGGTTGCACAGATCTCGGGATTATCACAATCCATACAATGCACAAGGACACACCTACACATACACCTATCACAAGTGTTAGTGACCTCAAACAAACATACCCAGATCAGTTTGATACCATAGGAAGCTTTAGCGAGAAAGCAATGCTGCATCTGAAAGATGATGCAGAGCCCACCATAGACGCACCTAGAAAGTGCAGTGTCCACCTGAAGGACAAGATCAAAGCCGAACTAGATAACATGGAGAAGCAAGGAGTCATCAGAAAGATAGAACACCACACAGATTGGTGTAGCTCGATGACCACCGTTGTGAAGAAAGATGGATCCATACGGATATGTCTTGACCCCAGAAGGTTGAACGATGCCTTGAAAAGGTGTCCACACAAAATTCCAACCTTGGAAGAAATCCAACCAATCTTCGCAGGAGCTCAATTCTTCCCCAAGCTAGACGCAAAGGCTGGATGCTGGTCAGTACACCTAGCGGAGGAATGCCAAGACCTGACCACCTTCAGAACACCATTTGGGAGATATTGTTTCCAACGATTACCCTTCGGCTTATGCACAAGCCAAGACATCTTCCAGCAACACATGGATAGGATCGTCCAGAATGTGCCTGGTTGCGTATGTATCGCAGACGACATTGCCATTGTCGGGAAAACAGAGGAGGAACACGACAAGAATCTCCACTTACTCATGGAGACAGCAAAAGAGGAAGGACTCGTGTTCAACAGCTCCAAGTGTACTATCAAGAAGGAAGCTATCAGCTACTTTGGATCCATATACACAAGATCTGGAATCTTCCCAGATCCAAGCAAGGTTGAAGCTATCAACACAATGCCTTCACCCAAGGACAAGGAAGATGTTCAGAGATGCCTAGGATTATTCACATACCTAGCACCATATATTCCTAATCTATCAGAGAAGTCAGCACCACTTCGTGAACTCCTTTACAAGGAAATTCCATTCGTCTGGGACGAGGATCACGAACATGCCTTAAACAGCCTGAAAAGCGCAGTCTCATCGGGTGCATGCCTGCAGTTCTTTGACCCAAAGAAAGAGACAACCGTTGAGGTAGATGCATCAATGAAAGGGCTGGGAGCATGCCTGCTCCAAGATGGCAAACCCGTAGCTTTTGCATCCAAAAGTCTCTCCAATGCGCAGTCCAACTACTCGAACATAGAGAGGGAAACCTTAGCCCTAGTGTTTGGTATCACCCGATTCCATACATACCTATTCGGGAAGGAATTCACTGTGATAACAGATCACAGGCCTTTGGAGACAATTTGGAAGAAACCTCTAAGAAGCGCACCACCTCGTCTACAGAGACTATTGATCAAGGTACAAGGATACAGATGCCAAGTCAAGTACCGACCTGGGAAAGAAATGATTCTTTCAGATACCTTGAGCCGTCTTCCTAACCCCAAGGAAGCACGCGATGTTCCACTAGACATCAGAGTGGAATCCATCTGCTCCGAAGTAGAAGACACTCATCAAATCGACTTGATCTTCTTCGGATAACACAAGAGAACAGAACTCCAGAGGGAAACATCCAGTGACCCTGTTCTTAGGTCATTGTGGCAGACAGTCACTCAGGGTTGGCCTGAAACTCTTCAGGAGCTGCCGACATCCCTAAGGGAATTCTGGTCTTACAGAGATGAGATTGGAGTGTCACAAGGAGTACTCTTCAAAGGAAGTCGAGTCATCATACCGAAGACACTTCGGGAAGATATCCTTAGACAACTTCATCTGGGACACATGGGAATCGAGAGCACGAGACGACTAGCTCGTGAGACAGTGTTCTGGCCAAACATCAACAAGGACATTGAACAGCTCGTAAAGCAATGTGCTGCATGCCAGGAACACCAGGCAAGGCAACAGAAAGAGCCGTTGCTTCCCCATGATGTACCTACAGCACCTTGGACTAGACTAGGAACAGATTTGTTCATGCTCAACAGACAAGACTATTTACTCGTCACTGACTATTACTCCAAGTATCCGATAGTCTACAAGCTGACCGACACATCAAGTGCTGCAGTAGCTAACGTGATGAGTGGAATCTTCAGTCTATTTGGTCCACCAGAGGAGATCGTATCCGACAACGGTCCACAATTTGTCGGGAAGCACTTCAAGGACATGTGCCGGAAGTGGTCAATAACACATACAACCTCTTCACCTCACTATCCAAGATCCAACGGACTAGCTGAGAGAATGGCTCGTACCGTCAAGAATCTGTTGAAAAAGTGTTCACAGACTGGCCAAGACAGTCAACTGGCTATGTCACACCTAAGAGCAACACCTGTTGACAGTCACATGAGATCACCTGCAGAGATGTTGTTTGGAAGACCCATCAGAACAACACTGCCAAGTCATCATCTTTCAAGAGAATCTACCACCACTGATCATCTCTTGAATCGACAGAGTAAGATGAAAGAAACGCACGATCGACATGCGGGTCCAGATCTTCCACCACTCCACGTAGGACAACCAGTCAGAGTCCTACATCCCAAAGATCATACTTGGATACCAGCCAAAGTATCCAAAGTCTGCGACGAGCCTAGGTCGTATGAAGTGTCAACACCCAACGGAGGAATCCTGAGACGAAACCGATCTCACCTGAGGGAGATTCCATCGTCAACCAACCCTACTCCAAAGCGTGTTAGGTTCGACGAAGACTACACTTCATCTACTCAAGCAGAAACACCAGAGCAGAATGGCAACAACCATCAGCCAACACCAGAAACTCAGAACATTCAATCTAAAGGACCAACATCACACTCGCAAACCACAACGAGATATGGACGCAACATCAGTACACCAGCGAGATACATGTTTGAAGATTGAAACTGAACTCTTAAATTTCTTCAAAGAAGAGAGAAGATAAAGAAGAACACGGAAGACGCTTAGTTTAATGTAGTCTAAGAAGTTTATTGTTTATATGTATGTATAATCATTGTACAGTATTTTTGGTATGACAAGCATAATGTTTATAAGTCTAAACAGATGCTAGCCCAAACATGTTTCGTTTGGAAATTTATTTCATAAAGGAATCAAGTTATATCAAAACTATGTTCAATCTTGCAGAACAACTGTGAAGTTGAAAGTAGAACGATATAATTATATAGACAGTTAAATACTCATTCGTTAATACAATACAAAAGAAACGTATTGAAAACAAATCAAGATTTTATGTTATATAACCTGATTGGAAAAGTTCATTAGGAAGCAAATAACCAAAACTTGCATACTACCAAAAGTATTGTTATCAAAGCAATTTGTTATTAATCATCGATCAGTGATGTTCACTGATTCCCAATCTTTCCAGAGGAAGGGGGATGTTACGATATACGATATCCGATATATTCGGTATCCGTCGTAGTTCAATAAAGATGTTCACCATCATCACAAACCTGACTGCCGACTCGTCTATTATCATGAGTATCTACCAAATCTAAGACCCTCGACTGCTCGAACTCATCACCTGTAATTTCACTAGGAGCACCCTATCACTTACACACCAGTGTCCCAACACACTCTTTGAGATATCTGGATCCAGCAGTAACCCCACACCTCTTTCATGCTTTTCACCTCCTGCATGAATCAATCTGTACTCATCTATCACAAACTCGCCGTTATTCAGCCATCTTGTTTCATTTAGTCCCAATATGTTGACATTTAGCCTCATCATCTCTTGTTTAACATTTTCCAGCTTGCCGCCATGTTCCAACTCTGATGGTATTCCTATTGCGAACAGTAGTTGGCTGACGGTCGGGGCCCACCTGTCGCCCATGGGACACCCTACCGGGCGAGGTGCTTGTCCCTTGAGGTAGACGAGCCCCCTTCACGCCTTTGGCTTTTGCTTTAGAGTTGTGGTTCATCATGATTGTTCTTGGAAAAATAGTGAAGTGGTTTTCCGTTGCCTTCTTCACCGCAGTAGTTAGCCGTATCTGGGAATATCCAGCACGCCAGTCATTATCAGAGGTTCACCGTTCACCGTTGTCCTAAAAGGATCTGCCGCCGAAACACTCCTACTGCATCGCTGCTGCCCAATGCAGAGCAAGCTAGGCTTATTTAAAGGCGGCCTAAACTCGCCTTCCCAATTCAACGTCTTAGGGGATGCAAGTTTTTATTGGTCCTACTGGTGCCACCCAGTACCACCACCAGCCCCTGATATTGAATGGTCCCCTTTCAGTCGCCTTTTACGACACGCAGAGGATACGTGGTGGGTATTCTTGACAGGCCCACCCCACCAACCTCATCAGCTCCATACATGATGATAATAATAATAATATAACAAATAATAATAATAATAATAGTGGGTTCTTGTATAGCGCTCATATCTGTCAGACTTGACACCTTTGGCGCTGCGCAATTATTACCCGGCTTTAGCATGGCTGCCATTACGGTGCTCTAACATTTCAAGGAATTAATTCCTGCCAGGTACCCATTTAAATTACCTGGGTGGAGTGTGGCAAATTTAGATTAATGTCTTGCCAAAGGACATGAATGCCGCGGTGGGACTCAAACCGCGGACCTTGTGAGCCCTTTATCTTGTGACGTTTCCACCAAACAAATCATATCAATCCAACCAAATTTATCCTTTTTTTTGTTCCATAGGCCACCACGAATTTCACTTTTTGAAGAGTCTTCAATCTCACTACTCATCCATATGTACTGTTGCAGTAGATCCTAATGAAGGCATGCTGCACACATTCAAGGGTAGAGTTGCTACATTGAATTTTGATGATAAATCGTCTTGCCATTGGTTCACTGGTCCGTTGTCACAATTCGTTGCTGAAAGCCCCTTGGCGGGAAACAAGTACAACCTCATCAGCTCTATTCATTCGCTCTACTACACGGGTGACTTTGAGACAACCTTCACCCAACTAGCATCCATGATGAAAGATAAGGGTCTCATGATCATCGTTTGTCAAAACGGTAGGAAGCGTATAGACATTATCATTTGCTCCATCGGCTCTTGCAAGTTTCTCAACTAAAATATTAAAAAATGCCGTAATAAAACACGATGAACGAGTGCAAAATCAACTCGAAAATAATTCAAACATACATTACAACATGGGGAGAAAACTTAGTGAGAACGGACACGAATCGTGATACGATTTTTGTTAACTTCGTAAGTTTGTCAATATTGGTCATAGCCTCTCAATTCTAGTGATGATATAATCTTAATCCTAAAGTAGGCTACATAATATACACCGTCACTACTTTTTCTTTTCATTATAATAATTATATATATTATTTTAATAACAAATCTTGGCCGGGAAGAAGCAAGCTACTCCCGGTGAAGTAGGACAGTCAAGGAGAAACAGAGGACAAAACTTTAATAAATATTAAAATCACTTTTTTACAGGTGATTTTTCAAAAACTTAAGTAAGTGCTGGATATTTAAAAGATATTAAATCATTATAAAAGGAAACTTAGCGGTCGCTCGTAATATTGACCTAATGATATACAATCCGTTGTACAATATTAGATTATCAGGTGTATAAGTTTAAAGCTAAGTTTCAGCATTTTTCTCATTTATATGACATGTATTGTTTATACTGTGTTTAATATACACAAGTTTGCCGGAGGTATTTTGAATGATCTAAAATCAGTAAGTGACTTTCTATCACAGTTTAATTCATTCTCGTTTTGTTCGTTCATTTGTTGTTACCCACAGATTGCCTGATCTCGAAAACATTCCACAAGTTAACATGGCTGACAGAAAGCACTCAATCCAATGCACGACTTTCTTCAAAGAATGTTCGAGATTTCGCACAAAGTCAAGGATATGATGTCATCACTGTCGATATACCTGTACATTGGGACATCACCGAAGTGTTTGATGACCAGTCAGACTTTGGAAACAAACTCCTCGACTTCTTCACCATGGCGGCGTACCTTCGACAGACCGCGCCGGCTGAGTTGGTCGATGATCTGATGAGCTTTTGGCGTTCTATTTCGACCGAAGATAAAAATAGACGTATGATAGCACCCGCCCGTGAAGCAATACTTCTCATCTCAAAATAATTCACTGTAATCGTTCTTCAGAGCACTTAAAGTCACTGAGTAGTCAGCTCTCATGAATTCGACACCGTTCGAAATAACAGCAATCACCAGGGTTAGCCTTGAGTTTTATGACCATTGGACCTTATGTAATGCTTTGAAAGACTCTCGAGCTCTCCCAGAGATAATTCTTGACTACTATACCGTTAATGTATTTCACCAATCTAGCGAATTATGGCCTTCTGCACATGAAACTGGCGATCTTAAGAATGTTGTTTAAAATATCAAGTAAAGTTTATCACAATTGTCCTTTTTTCATGCGCTTACCGTAACCATATTGGTTCTCAAGCAGCTCTAAGAGTGCCTTGGATACGACACTGGATGCGACATATATATATTTCCATTTAAAATATTTTATGAACGATTGAGATGAGCAGACCGCGCCGGCTGAGTTGGTCGATGATCTGATGAGCTTTTGGCGTTCTATTTCGACCGAAGATAGAAATGGACGTATGATAGCACCCGCCCATGAAGCAATACTTCTCATCTCAAAATAATTCACTGTAATCGTTCTTCAGAGCACTTAAAAGTATGTTGTTTAAAATATCAAGTAGGGTTTATCACAATTGCCCTTTCATACGCTTGCTATATATATAGTTACTTATCTATCACGTAATGGTGCCCAAGCAGCTTTAACAGTGCCCTGGATACAACACTGGATGCGAAATATATGTGTTTCCATTTTGAATATTTCATGAACGATTTAGATGAGCGAGTTTAAGGTAAAGGGAGACCAAATATGAGGGGGAGGGTATTGTGAAGAAAAAAACCCGATACTATCGTTATCATTCTATTTTGTCATTACTGCAATAATTTCACACACAAAATATTATATTTCAGGAGCAAAATCATGTAACATTTGACATATTGAAACACATTTTTGTACTTATAAAAGGTGAACTCTGGCCCGTAAAGGTACTGTGTCCCATTTGCAGGCCAAAACATGAAAAGGTTAAAATTTCAACGGTATTGGAAAGACAATAACAATTTAGAACTTTCCTCAAACGGAAGGGCTTGAAAATGGCTTTTAGTGGGAAAATAACGATCATTAGTTGTCGAATCGACTTAAGTGATTGCAATTAACCAAGTAATTGTCTGATTTCAGACCCTTTTACCGAATAGTCGTACGTATTGTGTTGCACAAAAATTCAATCAGTGTAATTTTGGCCATTACAAGAAGTGGGTTATCGATGTAGACGAATGCTCATTTACTCTGTTATGTAATGCTCTGTTACAGCTCATTTTATGTACATGTATATTATTATCAAAAAACAAACATGTCAGTCACTCACTCAAAAGTGTTTGACAGTGAAGTCTAGAAGGTAAACGGGTTTCCTTGCATAATTTAAATAATTTGAATTTGAATTTGGTTCAACTGGAAATATGCACACGGACCAGTTTTCAACTGGTGCAACTGGAAATATGCCCACAGACCAGTTATCAACTGGTACAACTGAATATATGCCCACAGACCAGTTCTCAACTGGTGTAATTGGTCATGAAGGACTGGTTCCAGTTTTTGCCCTCTTACATTTGCTATTTTTCTCTCCTATCGACGTTCTGTTATATAAAATATAATTTTCATAATATTATCTATAATGTTCTCTCGGTAACTGTGTTAACTTATAAATGGCGTTCCCAACTCAAGCTATGCTTTCCGGGTTTTCGCCTCCTTCCATATCTGAATTATTTACTGTATACTCTATGTTGAAATAATTGTTACATATATCATTTATATATACATTGTGTTTCATTTTGTACTGTTGAGAAGGAAATAAATGTTAATAAATACAAAATACAAAATGAAATGCAGTTGCACCAAATATCCGATTGGTGTGCTTCATATGGACCAGTTAGAATCAACTGGAACCAGTTGCCGTCAACTGGGATCCAGTCTAATTTAACTGGTTCCAGTTGAGGTTGACTGGAACCAGTTGTAAATTCCAACTGGTGGTAACTGGTTTGTCTTTCTAGGTTGCCGGCCATATGCCGACATGAACATGTATAGCTGTATGAGATTGTGTGGCAATTGTGTGATTCAGTAATTTAGGAATATAACTTTGTGGAAATTACCATGTGAACACACAACTTTTACATATTCTAAAATGCTAGGAGAAACCAAACTATGACAATCATATGAGCACAGAGTTTGCTCTTATGACACACTGTTGTAAACATGTGGCACTCTGTGATTAATACTACGAATATTTGGATGTTACTTTGTGGTAAACCACATGATCTAAAAATTTCACACTGACAATATACTGTGAACACAGAGTTTACACAGTGATACATACAATAATGTGGTAAATATGTGTCACTCTGTGTTAAATATGACCGACTATGTGGTAAACCATATGATCTTAAACCCCACACTATGAAAATACTGTGATCACAGAGTTTACACATAGTTCAATACATATACAACTGTGGTTAATATGCGGTACTCTGTGTTAAGTATGTCAGTTTATGTGAATATTATGTGGTAAACTACATGGTTTGAAACGCCACACTGTTTCAACAGTGTGAACACATAATGTCCACGCATGTTACACATAGTTGACTATGTGAACATAAGGGTTAGGAACATTGTGTAAACGAAGCATTAGTTATTTAGCATAGAAACTAAAATGACAGACCGCGTCTGAATGTGGCCCCGTTCACACGCATAATGTTTGATTGTGTGTACTGTTTAATAGTTTACTGCATATTTTTAAAGCAGGGTGTGTTCATATAGTGATGTAAACCAGTTTAATTTTAATCTTTTTATGTCATATCATAAGTAATCTATATTAACGTGAAGTAAATGGTATCTTACTGCTTTAGCGATAGGGTTTGTACATGCTTACATGCTGAAGCATTTGTTTGTTTGCTTATCATCATTACAGATTGTTATCCGAAGATTTTACCGAAGATATTAAGGTGAAGTTTACACCATTGTTGATGTTGCTGAATAAAACGGAAGTTTGTTGGACTTAAGCAAACTGTTTTCGATTGTTGATTTTCATCGGTGTGCCTTGTGAATAGCAACAGTTGGACATTTACTGTTAGACGAAACTTCTTCATTAAAAGGATTTATGAAGGCTGCCAAATTACTGCCACATTGACATCAAAATATATAATTGTCTTTTAACGTAACTCTGGACGTAAATGAAGATATAAAGCCGTGAAGCTTTTATAGAAACAGATACATAGTTTGTTCAGATATTTTATATTGTATCGTGTGTGACATGAGCGATGCACTGTCTGTCATTGCTATTTGTATCTGTATTCGCAGATTTATATCTCCATTTACGGCTGGACTCCTAAACTTCTATAATTCCCTCTCTACCCTTTTCATCGCACTCGATTTCTGTGGCGGGACAAAACCTTTACCATGAATAATGGTACGGGAACTGACGGCTTAGCTCGTAAACTTGTCAAACTTGACCCGAAATTTGACTGCGTACTGCTGTGACTGAAGAACATTACGACAGTGACAAACCTGACCTATATATGGTAACTTTAAAGTATAAAAAAGAAGAAAATTTTAAACTAGGTAAACAAATCTTCTTCCCGCGCAATTAATCATTTTCCCAATCATTTTAGAATAACAAACTCTTCTGTTCGATAATGACAATCCAGTGGGAACAAAACGCACCAGTCTATTATTGGTATCCCCAAAGAAATCATAAAAATCAGGAAACGGGACCAAAAAAAAGGAGGAAGCAAAAGAGCAATATAGAGAGAAGGAAAAAAAAGAGTGATAAAAACTAAAGAGTGAGACACAAACAAGAGAGGAAAAATAAAGGGAATAGAGAGTGAAGAGGTGATGTTTTTGTTGTTGTAAAGGAATCGATTAATATGTCACTCGTTAGTGATAAAGCTGGCACCACCAAATCCTAGTCTGGGTCCACATTCTTAAATTTAATGTAATTCCTTACTTTCAAAGCTCACGCAAAAATTCAATTTCAGTACATTCAGACAGTCAGCAGCATACGTGTATATGCTTCCCATCATTAAGCATAATGTTTGCTCCCTCATTCTGAAGAGCCATGAACTTTTTGGTGGTGGTGACGACGGTGCCGATATTGGTGGTGATCAGGCGCGTACGCAGGGGTGGGGGGTTTTGGGGGTTGAACCCCTTTGGTATTTTTATGTGTGTAAACCCCCCTAAAAAAAACCTAACCCCCCCTCCCCCCCCCTTGGTTTTTTTTTTTTTTTTTTTTAAATCATAACTAAAAAATTAAAAAATCAAAAAAAAATTATGCCCATGGCTGACCTAAAAAAGGTGACCTTACCCCCCCCCCCCACAACAAAGAAAAATATCAAATTTTAAAATTTCGAGACCAAAAAACAAAAAAAGTGTTCTCTACCCCCAACTCCTCTATTGCTATAGCGCCCCCTTAGGTCAATGTTTTGCCCAAAAGTCAGCGTATATCTCCATTTACGGCTGGACTACCAAACTTCTATTTTTCTTTTTCTTCAACTATTGATACAGGATACCCTTATATAACCTGGGTAGAGAATAGCAATAGAAGCAACAATGCCGGCAAACCGGCACGTTATATATGGATTATTTATGGTAGATTGTAAATCTACAGTAATTTTGAACTATTTTGTATCTTAGTTGTGCAATTAATGTATTCAATTTTGTTTGTTGAGAGAAAAAGAATAAAATAACATTCCAAATCAATAACAACAACAAAATCAATCCCCCCAATACAAAAACACACCAGCCACTATGAAATGGACAACTCCCATGTACCATGCACACTGTTCGAGGCACCTGTAAAATTATGGATCTTCAGTGATAGGTCCCTCAGAAACTAGTGCTAAGCCAGTCACAGATAATTTATGATTTCAACTGAAGCATCTCAGTGCATAGTGCATTGATTTTTATTCAAATTTCGTTTTTTTTTTTTCCCTCTACATATTTAATCAACATTGTGTTTTTGGCACTTGAGCTATCGTTGGATTGATGGATGCGGTTAACAGCGTTGGTGTATTATGTGGATTTATCATATTTAGATTCTGAGTATTGGCAGCGAATGATATCATATTGAAAAGGATGCAATTCATAGTTGTACACAATAATTGTCAGTTAATATATTCTATATTTCTCCACCTCTCTCTCTCTCTTTCGGGCATAAAGAAAATATGAAAATAATATAGGGCTTTGATTAAGACAACTTGATCACTTTATCAGTATTGAACAGGGGAAAAGAAATGGGTACGAAAATAATCAAAACGAACATCTAAGATACCTACTAAATGTTCATTCGTGATGGAAACGAACGCAGGTATGTTAAAATGTGAAATAATTATTTATAGAGGGATGATAAATCAATTCTTTGACGTTGATTGATTCGTTGAATATTACACGAATATGGTGACGTGTCGGTTACGAACGGCGGGCTTCGACATCTACTGAATCCATCAAAAAATAAGAAATCTAGCTGTAATAAATACACAGACAAGAAAGTTTTTAAAAAAAAGATAGATGCCAGAATGATGACATTGACGAGGATTCAAATTTTGAATAAAAAATAATCAAACTGTAGTCGGAGGATTATGTATTACAATTTTAGAAAGGTGTATCCACCAGCATGTTGTTGAAACTATTTTCAATTTCAGTCGGTTATGAACATATGGTCATGGCAGGTTCTGTCCTTGTAGAACCTCTACACACTCTTGCAAATGCTGCAGCAGTAAAACTACAAACTATATTTCATAACGACCATGCCCCGACGGACATTCCTTTCACATCTTAGGAACCTCCTAAGATACATGAATTCGACATTGCAAAATACAAAGAGATCTTATAACCTTTGCTTTTGGCTAATCCCTTTTCGCTACCAATGTGCCCTCCCCGGCCCGGCCTCTCCGTGAGGTTAACCGAAAACAAAGGTAGAGAGATAAACCCTACTGTTCCTAGAAGTCGCCCCAGTATTTCTTCCATGCATGATTCCGGTCTCATGTCGAGGTTTTCGGAATAAACAATAAATACTCTATCCCGGCTAAGTCCAACAGTAATTCCAGCCAAATCCCAGTTACATACCAGAAATCTCAGTATAAAACAATACAATTTTGACATGTTACACATGTATCAAATATACAGTTGTTATTAGCTATTACTTTCATATATTGTATTGACGAAGTTAGAAGTAAAGGCTAATTGTATTAAGTTTCATGTAATATAATTTTGCACTATCTTGTAAGTTGTATCTTAATTATGCAATTAATGTTTTCGATTTTTGTTTGTTGAGGGAAAGAGTATTATTTAAAAAAACACATTTCAAATCAATCATAACATCAACAAAATCACCCCCCCCCCAATAAAAGAAAACACACAGCTACTGTGGAATGGATAACTCTCTTTGCAGGCACAGCGTGTGTGTGTGTGTGTGTGGAGGGGAGGGGGGGGTGGGTGGGAGGGGAATTGTGTGTATTTTGGATAAAGGTGTGAATTGATAATTGATTTCCGATGTATTTCTTTATAGTGTACATTCTTAGTTTTTCATTTCTTGATGAAGGATATAAATCAAATGAACCATGCACTCAAAGTGTTCGAGGCACCTGTAAAATTATGGATCTTCAGTGACTGGTCCCTCAGAAACTAGTGCTAAGCCAGTCACAGAGAATTTATGATTTCAACTGAAGCCTCTCAGTGCATATTGAATTTTATTTTTATTCAAATTTCTTTTTTTTCTCTCCATATTTACTTTGATCAACATGGTGTTTTGGCACTTGAGCTATCGTTGGATCGATGGATGTACAACTGTTTGTGAAAGAAGAAATAAAATGAACTAAATGAACGGTGTTAACCGCATCCATCGATCCAACGATAGCTCCAGTGCCAAAACACCATGATGATCAAAGTAAATATGGACAGAAAAACAAAAGAAATTTGAATTACAAAAGAGAGAGAGAGAGAGATAGAGACAAGAAAAAGTACAAAAGAGCAAAAACAGAACAAAGCGAGTTTGCTTATAAATGAAGAAATGTTGGTAAGGAATGGTAAGGGCCAGTCTGGAAAAGAGGGGGGGGGGGGGGGTGGTGACAATAAAGCAAAAAAAAATACTATATCATATGTGATGACATATCGTTGGTATAGTATTTGGATTCATCATATTTAGATTCTGAATACTGGCAGCAAATTATATGATATTGAAAAAGGATGCAATTCATAGTTGTACACAATAATTGTCAGTTAATATATTCTCTCTTTCTCCCTCTCCCTCCCCCTCTCTCTCCCTCTCTCTTTCTCTCTCTCTCTCTCTCTCTCTCTCTCTCGCTCTCGTGCATAAAGAAAATATGAATATAATACTGGGCTTTGAATATTAAAGACAAATTAAACATTTTATCAGTATTAAACAGGGAGAAAGAAATGGGGAGGAAATGAATCAAAACGAAAATTTAAGATACATGAATGTGGTGACTTGTCGGTTACCAACGGCAGGATTTGACATCTACTCAATCCATCAACAAATATGAAATCTAGCTGTAGTACATACACAGACAAGAAGGTCTTAAAAAAGAGAGATGCCAGAATGATGACATTGACGATGATTCAAATTTTGAATAAAAAATAATCAAACTGTGTTCCGAGGTCATATTAAATAACATTTTAGAAAGTTTTATCCACCAGCATGTTGTTGAGCACTATTTTCAATTTAATTTGAATGCGGTGACTTGTCGGTTACGAGCAGAAGGTCATTGCAGGCTTCGATTTTCTATAATACTAGAAGCTATCTAGACAGTACTTCAGCAGAAAGCTGGATAGAGACACTTCGTCACATCAAGCTACGAGAAAGTATATCATATCATCATCTCACCGAATTCTACTCGAATACCGCATCGAAATCAGGTAGGCTCAAAGGCAGGCCCTTACGTTCTTCCTGTTGCACATGAGATGTCTTTCTGACTGCGTCAGTTTGTAATTGTATTGATAATGATATCGACTATTTTGTAGCGCTAAAACAAAGAATACCTTAGATGCTGCTTATAAGTATCGGCTTGCATGGTGATGTAGATATACAGTAGGCTTACACACACACTCAAGAAAGAAAGATTACCGACAGTCTTTTTCAGGACTCCTCAGTCTTCCCCCTCTCACAAGGTGCAACCGTATAGTAAGCCTACTCTATACAAAATAACAGAATGTTCTACGTTTTCGAAGCCGCCACTGTATAACGTTTCTTGGTAGTTGAGAGTCTGGATTTGGGAATAATTAATGTAAATTCAGTTGTTGAGCGTAGGTCTGCATTTCTTCAGACATTTCTTCGCCTCTTGTGCAGCGGGCTTTTAGTGTACATTAATCAGGAGCTATGCTTCGGCAACTCTGAGGGGTGCGATGGCCCAGTGATCTCGTAATCGGGAGGTCCCGAGTTCGTATCACTAAAGAGCGCTACTGTCCTTTAAGGGGGTATCTCACTGAGCTGCGAATGCTTACAAACGTTGCGAATTTTTGGCAGTTGGCGACTATTAGCGACTATAAGAAAATGTTAGCAATAGTATTAGCGAAGTTTAGCAACTATTTGCCAATCCTTTGCCACTATTTGTGAATGTTTGGGACCTTTTACGAACCCTGGCGAAACCCCAAATTCGTTACATTCGTCGCAAGCATTTGCCGCTCAGATAAAGCCTCAGTCATACCATGGACCTATTACGGATGGACATTCAACGTGATTCTTTCTTTCATCCAATGATAGTCGCCGCCTTCTGATGATGTGCATCTTAATGAGAACATTCAGCTGTTTTAACAATAACGACTGCGTTTTAAGTATTTTCGTTCATTGGCAAAGGAGCAGTTTCCCTCTCTTGTATTTTGTTTGGATGGCGTGCTGTGTAAGAGTGTGTCTTAAATAAAAGCATCCTCAATGGGGAGCAGCAAAGTTGAAAAGCAGACGATTTTGGTGATATGAAATGTATTATTACTGATTTGCAAACTTTCGCACACACCTATGACCTTATAAAACAATTAGAAGGCCATGCTCTGTATCAGCCCTGTGTGTTGTAACTCTGGAATATTATGGGGAAATAGGGGGAAACGGGATTTTAAATCACAACCCAAAAATCCAAAAATAACCTCTATCTGGTAATATTAACATGTTTTTCTAAATAAAATACATGTACAGTACACGGAACAACAATTTCCGATTATAAGCCAGAACTGCACATCTATTTTTCATGATTTAGGCGAGTTATTATCTTCTGCGCATGTAGATTAACATGTATAAAATCACTATCTTGATTCTGTCCCGGCTTTTTGGCGGTGACCATCATGAGATCAAAGTGAAGAAATATGTACGGAATGTTATTGAGACGAAATTGACGGAGACAATCACAATGAATTCGTTAAGAAAACGATGAATGTCCATCCGTAAGAGGTCCATGGTCATACCTTTGAGTATTTGGCTTGCGTATTGCTGCGTATAAATGGCAAGCCTTTTTAACAGTTATTCCTATTTCTTGATATAGGAATAACTGTTAAAACGGCTTGCCATAATTACGCAGCAAAAGGGCCAGTCAAGAGTGTCGATTTGTATCCGTGGTTGGGAGGGGGGGGGGGGGGCAATGAGAGGTGCCAAAATATTTTCGGCAATGGATCAAAGCAAGCCAAAACGAAAAGAATTTGTAGTTGAAGTGCCACCCTGTAAGGTCGACTGTGCTGTGAGGGAGCGTAGTGACCGAGCCGAAAATGGGTGGGGTCCAGGGGCGAAGCCCTAACAGGGGTAGCAGGGGGCTGAGCCCCCTGAAGCTGGTAGATTTAGGGCTTTCTAAAGGCCCAAATGGGGCATTTTTAGCACCATTTCATTCCACAATATAATCAATCATAATTTCATATTGATGTGAAAAAAAATTAGTAAAATTCCGGAGTACAATTACACTGGAGGTATATTTATATGTAGTTTTTTTTGTGTGCAATAAACACGGGAAATGTCAAAATAAAGTGAAATTAAACAAACAAAAACGAGATGTTTCCAGATTTTGGCAATGTTGAAATATCTCATCGTAAGCTAATTGTTGTTCAGACCTTTTAGATTCGTATAAAATGGTAAAAAACGACAAGTTCCCCCTTTCTTCCTGTTTGTTAATAAAACAGGCATTTAGGGCTCGAATTCGACTGCAACTTCTTGATTTAGCTTAGTATTTAATTCTAAAATATGTATTTTTTTTTTTTCTGTTTTTGTTTTGTTGTTGCAACAGTAGCGCGCCACTCCGACTGACCGCAAGCGCCACAAGTGGCGCGCGCGCCGCCAGTTGAGAAGGCCTGCTCTAAAATATAAGCATAATATTCCTCTAAGGCCCTGACTAGAGCACTATTTTTTTCTTCAAAAACTATAACCAGTCTTAGAAGCTGCATTATTTTTGGAAGGGTGTTTTAAACAAAATTTCAAACTTAATAACATTCTAACCTCCAAAAACACCTTAACTATCTTATGCCTTTTACGTTTGACTACAATAAATAGGCTTACATCAGCTTTTCAATGAAACAAAAATAAGTTGTGACATAATAATCTTTCTCCAAAATATCGAACTGGAGTATTATGTTGTATTGCTTGTTTATGTAAATACAAATAGCTTATTTTCAAGAGGCACTAGATCCATGTGTGTAACTCAGGGGCGGCCGAGCGACTTTCAACGTGGGGGGGGGGGCACCAAGAAAAAAGGGCACCTACAAAGGGAAATCTCAAAGCGAAAATATACAATTTGTTAGTACAAAGTACAAAGAGTAATTATAAGAGGTAAAAATGGGGCATTTCTTACACCCTCAAAAAGAGGCACTCACCAGAGATGGAAAAGGTCAGTCATGAGAATAGAAAATTTGGCATTTGTCGACGGAAAAGGGGCATTTATAAGATATTATTATATATTGTTAAAAAGGAAATTATCAGAGTTGAAAAGAGGCAATTATCGCATTTGAAAAGAGGCAATGACCAGATATGAAAAGGGGCACTTATGTGAATGAAAAAGGGGCACTTGTAATAAAGGAAAATGTGCATTAGTTAAAAAAATTGTGCACCGATCAGATTTTAAAGAGGCATTTATCGGAGGTGAAAGGGGCATCTATCTGAAGTGAATAGGAGTAACTTCTCGTACCTGAAAAGGGTCAATTACCAGAGAGGGGGCACTTATGAGAAGGGGAAGGTGCTCTTTTTTAATGGGGAACTTATCATTAGGAAAAGAGACAATTATCAGAGGTGAAGGGGGCACTTATCAAAAGTGAAAAGAGGCATTTCTCGTACCTAACTAGGGGCACTTACTAGAGATTAAAAAGGGCACTTATGAGAATGGAAAATGGAAACTTATTGCAAATGAAAATGGGAACTTGTCGAAGGAAAAGGGGCACGTGTCCAAATAAAAGGGGCGCTTATCAGAGTTGAAAGGGGGAAGGGGCACTTTTACAAATTAATAGGGACACTTTTCAAAGTAAAAGGGGCACTATTCCTATGTTAAAAGGGGCACTTCTTAAAAAGTTAAAGGGGCACTTTTCCTATGTAAAAAGGGGCACTTTTCAGGTGCTCTCAATTTTTTTTTTTTTTTTTTTGGGGGGGGGGGGGGGATTGTGCCCCCTTGCCCCCGGGAGGGCCGCCTCTGATGTAAAGTAAGAAAGAACTCTTTGTTTACCCGATTTTGTTCAGGTGTCTATGGAAAATTGTTATTAAAAGATGCATGTGTTCATAATTTCTCTCGTAATTTAGGTTAATAATTTTGTTCAAGGTAAATAGAGGAAATTGTATATCATTATTTCCATTTGATATCAAAAGATTTTGCTCCTTTCGGAAAATAGCTCTTCAAATGTGTTACATGCAGAGATATAAATAAACAAAGAAATGGATGAAATCAATAAAACGAAATAGATACTGAGTATGAATCAGGGAACAAACTGAAAGTTTCGTCTTTCTCTTCAATGATACAATATTTTATTACTTTACTTGCATTATGAAAAAAGCGCATCATCAACCCCACATAGCTTTTAAAATCACTTCAAATTGAACTGGCCAAAAGTCATGTGATATTCTTGCTCAGATGCCTTCCTTTACCTTTAAGAGTTCTTTATATTGAGGAATTGGTTGATAATTTTTTTTCTTGGCAATAATGCCCAAATTTAAAGAGTTAAACATATACACGACTGTAACTTTTAGCGCGTTTTGAAAAATGTTTTAGGAAATATCAGGAAATAACATGAGTGAAAAAACAAACAAATAAAGATACAATAACGTGAATTTTAAAGGTGTGAAAGGAAATAACATAACAACTAGTGAACTATCTTATAAGTCATACTAATGTCCGAAAATCTTTCTCCTTGTCTCCGATCTCATCACGAATTCGTCACAGAGTCCATATTGGCTCTCATCATTAATTTTTCTCTTCATTTTTTTTTTTTTTTTTTTTTTTTTGGGGGGGGGGGGGATGGTGAATTATTGGGGGGATGATTGTACAGGCCACCCCCCCCCTGAACAATTTGAGGGGGATATATCCCCCCCCCCCCGCGATCGACACCCATGGGCCCAGTGATCTCGTAATCGGGAGGTCCCGAGTTCGTATCACTAAAGAGCGCTATAGTCTCCTCACTGAGCGGCGAATGCTTGCGAACGTTGCGAATTTGGATTCGCCAACTTTTCTGACAAATGTTGGCGAAAATCAGGGTTCGCCTTTTTGGATGTCCAAAATTTCTTTGCGACAAAAAAAAACTATTTGCGAACTTTCTTGCAACCTTTTACAAACCTTTGCAACCTTTTACGAACCCTGGCGAAACCCCAAATTCGCTACGTTCGCAAGCATTCGTCGCTCAGTGAGATAGGGCCTTTACTCACACTGACTTACATGTGTAAGGTAATTCATTTAATTCAATTTCTTAATATTGTCCTTGCCATGATAGCAATTTAAAAACATTACAATCTCCTGCTTCTTTGCTGTGAGAATGAAACTATGCATTGTACATGCACACATTTTACTTGCGAGTGGTAAACAGTACGAAATAAAGATATTTTGAAACAATATTGAATATTACTCAGGACTTGATTTTGAAAAAAAAGGGAAAAATTACAATTTCTACTGTTCTGCTTTGCTTCATATGGTGGATAGGTCACGTGACGTATAAGATGGCGCCAATCACACGGAGAGTGTATGCTACATACTTGATGTTGGCCATGCTGTGTGTACAAGCTACATGCCAGGGTGCATCAGGAGATGCCAACGATGTCGAGGTAAAATACGCAATAAGATTATATTGCTCTACAGTACGTAACAAAAAAGGTTCAAACTTTAAAAACATCCTCCAAAATTATCATTGAAGGATATCTGCATGATTTTTAATTACAAAATAATGGATGACGGTCGATTCAATAGGATGGCACTAAAAGTATTGACAATGTTTTACGCTTGAGTGAGCATTCGCTTATTTACTCGCAATTGTGTAATAGAAATCATGCAGATATAGTGAAAGTATCATTTTAGAGCATATTTTCAAAGTGTGGACTTTTTTTATACGCATTGTAACCATGTACTGGAATCGTTTGAAACGGAAATCCACGCGAAAAATTGTGATTCAAAAGAGTAATTCGATCACTTCTTTAGAGTTGATTCAGCTCCAAAGAAAGTGATCCCTAATTATGACTCCTTTGAAAATGGATTTCCACTCCTCTCCATTAATATAATAGTTTTGTTTTTAAAATAAGTGTAATATAAGTCTTCTAATAAAGATAAGAACATATGGAAATGAAAGGTGATAAATGATTTATATACCCGCGTTATATTATTATTGCAACTAACCTTTTTGTTATAAGTTTATTCACCCCTCACTCATCCATTAATTCCTTCATTTATTTCTTCATTCATTCATTAAATAGCCCTTGTATCGTTACAGTCTAAGTTTCGTCAAATGTGTCTTGATAGGATCATCGCCTCCTCCTTACATAAACATGTATATGTCATATAAATGGAAATGCGTACTTTTGAAAGTGAATCATATTTAACCCTTTGCTTACTGGAACCTGGTAAGCCTAACCTATGTAGTACAACAAGTTCATTCATGTTTTTATTTTGTATCCAGGATTTTTTTCTTCTGTCATAATCTTCCTTTATCTGTTCGGTACCTGTTGCCCATGAAAGAAATTGTTATTCTCATATGACTGCTAATATACATCAGAGAATAAGACGAGATCAACATCACTACATAGGGCAAGAATGCAATTTTGAAACATTATCAATTCGTGTCGGTGTTGTTCCTAACTTTCTGTAATAAACTCACTTTTTATATTCCTTGATTACGCATGAAGTCTAATATCTTGCTTAAAAACAAATTTAATTGTTGCTCATTGATTGTCATATCAATGTTTCACTACTTTGTATTCACAGTCCTGTACATCACAAGGAGGATATTGTCAGGGGGACGACATGTGTTATGGTGTATCGTATGTCTGTATTATGGAGGAGGAGTGTCAATGACAATGGAGCTTTGTGCCTGGTTCGTCGTTCAAGATGTACTTGTGGCACGATGGGTTATATATAAGTTATTTGGAGACAGCATGCTGAGGCCTTTATCCTGCAGTGGATCGATAATGGCTGAAAAAGAAAGAAAGGTTATCCGGCGAGATTCCTGCAATAAATTAATGACAGATCATGATGATTAAAAGTGCTCAAAGCTAGCCTTATATCAATTGATATTTAGATATGTTGATGTTGATATAATTATTAGGCCTATACTGCAGCTCCCCCATACGTATACTACTGTAATTATGGACATGAATTTTGGTGATGGGTGAGATATTCAGTTTTAGATGAGATAATTTGAACGTAATATCTGTTAGTTTGCCGATGCCCCACCTTGTTAACCACATCACATGATACAGGGTCTGAGCTATACTGAACTTACACCAAACTTTCATAGACAATGTAATATTTACAATACTTATTTATAATCTATTATTTAGAAATTCATATGTCCATCATTGTCCATACGAATAAGGAATATTGTATCATGCATTTAAATAGATCTATTATTGCCTCCATCCCTCCATCACATCGATTCAATATTAAAATTTGAACTTATTCATTAGGAATTCAATATTCCTTGCATGCTAGAAGAAAGATGATAATACTTTCACCCCCTCCCCCCTCATCATCATCATCATCATCAAGTGCCGGGTGTGTTTAGGACATCGGCTGTCATGGCCCACCATTTCTGCTTATTTTCTGGTATTCTTAAAGAGCTGGTATTGCTAATTACATTTTTGGTTGCCCATTTAAGGGTTAAGGCTTCCTAATATTTTTTCTTCTAGATAATCCTATCTGTATATATCACAAATTGCATTTGCATCTTTCTCATTGTGTTGATGAGTGATGGTTTTACTCTTGCTTTCATCTTATTAAATATATCCTTGCCGTTGCAATTCTTTTCTTTATCTCATGAATACTTTTCACATCTGTTTTCTTCGTTTAAAGGAAACAAATTAATAAAATGAGAAGGAAATAAATTTGTTTAAATGTTGAATCTTCTTTTAGCGTCGTACGTGCCAATAATTATGCTCATATATTCGAGGAGTAATGTTAAACAATGTATTTTGAATGACGACATAATATTGATAGCAGTCATTCTATTTAAAGGCGGGAATACATGTACCTTTTTTTTGGATGTGATATCATCAATAAAATGGGACCAGTATGATGAACAAGATATTGTTTGGTATCCAGTGAAGACGAGGTGTGAGTATAGTTCAGTATATACCTCACTTAAGAAATCCAGCCATCTGATTGGTCGAAATTGCAATCGTGATTTTAGCCATTCCCGTAAAGAAACGAAAAATGCCCAAAACAATTAATAGTCCAAGAGTAAAATCGCGGCAACATTCCGTGATGTTTTAACCAATCTTTACTCGATAAGGCCATTAAAGAAAAAAATAATATGTTTAGCGTCCCCGCCTGCTTTCTTTTTGGGGGCCGCCTCCTTTTTTTTTTGTGCAATTTTTTTGTTGATTTTTCTTTAAAGATAAAAAACATGAAAAACACTGCTAAAATGGATTTATTTCTTATTTTTTTTTAAAATTAAAAAAATGTCGGCGGCCATTTGAAAAATAGCCCAACTGTCAGGGTTAATGTACCGAGCGGCCATTTTGAAAGAAAAAAAAAGGGGGGAAAAGGGCCTCCTCCTTCCTATTTTTCAAAAAAGCAGGATGCTAAACATGTTTTTTTTTTTTGCCTAAAAGGATAAGGTAAAAATGATTGGTAGATTTTTGTTTGAATTCGGCATATAAAAGGGATATCGACTGCTTTAATACTCGAGGACTGGCTGTTTCTATACTGGCTCTCGGGAAATTTGCCTCCGGTGCTATCACCCCGAGGCGCGCCTGGGTGGGTGGCGTATAAAAAAAGCCAGTCCTCTCGTGGTAGTCGATATCTCTATATTAGTACTATACATTTCAATACATGGGCAAGGTGTTTGTTATAGAACATTATGTAATATTCCAAGGTAGACGTGAGCCAGCATGGCAATTTGATCAATACCTTTAATTTATCAATCTATATACATTATTTTTTCATTTTTTGTTAGTTTATCAATGAACTTGTAACCATTCTGTACCAAAATAACAATATTTACCGTAATACGCAATTTATCTCGATTGAATTATACACTATTCATTTATGTATCATGTATGAGGATCTCCTAGCTTCCTCACCGTAATATTACAATCTTCTTCTTTTACCCTGTTCTGTACTATACCACTTCTGTTTTCCTCTCCTTTTCTCCTTTTCTCCTTTTCACATCTTCCTTTTCCCTTTCCCTCTATCCCGGTGCTCCTTGTTATCACATATATTATTACACTGTAACTTGTATTGTTATTGTTAATGTACTTTGCTATTGTATGTATTGTTCATTATAACCTGCCGCCTAACCCACTGGGTTGACGGGCCTGGTTTTTGTGTACATGATCTCTAATAAAGACTTGATTTACCACTTATTCCTGGCAAAATTTAAAGATACGGAGTTTCTTTCGATTATTTTTCTTGAGATAACTATTACACTCATCTTTGTACAGGGTGTCTAAAACACAAATGGTACTAGTGATGGTGGTGATTGTTGTCGGTGTGGTGGTGGTGGTGGTGGTGGTGGTGACGACGGTGGCGATATTGGTGGTGATCAGGCGCGTACGCAGGGGAGGGGGGGGGGGGGGGGTGGGGGGTTTTTGGGGTTGAACCCCCCCCACCCATTTGGTATTTTTATGTGTGTAAACCCCCTAAAACCCTCCTAAACCCCCCTAACTAAAAAATATGCCCATGGCTGACCTAAAAAAGATGACCTTACCCCCCCCCCCCACCAGAGAAAAATGTCAAATTTTCAAATTTCGAGACCAATTTTTTTTTTTAAATGTCCTCTTACCCCCCCCCCCCCCCTCCTTCTCCCTTCTTGTACTTTTGTATTAATCGTTCTTTGACAATGTCAGCTCCTTCCCTCCCTCATGGAGTTCGTCTGATTCCCCTGTTCGTCCACCCCTCCTTCTTCTTCTTCTTTTCCTACTTCTTCTTCTTCTTCTTCTTCTTCTTCTTCTTCTTCTTCTTCTTCTTCACCATCTTGCTCTTCCTTCTCAGTCCGTTCCTCACTGACCTAGAGCACATATTTTGGGTTTTTTTTTGTCCCCTTGCGTACGCACCTGATATTGAATTTGAATTGCATTGAATTTCTTTATTGTCATGCACAATAATATTTGCATTTATATAGCGCTCATTACAGTAAATGTATCACAGCGCTTTACATATCATATACATATATAAGAATATCAATAACAAAATAACTTATGAACTGATTACATTTCCTGATTACGCATAAAAAATATTTAAAAAAAAAAAAAAAAAAAAAAAAAAAATTGTCTTACAAAATAACTTATAAACTACATGTAATATTACAGGTACAGATTAAGTATTAAATAGAAATGTCTTAAGGGACTTCTGGAACTGAGAAAGGGATGACGACGTCCGTACGTTCTGGGGAGGTTGTTCCATAGGCGTGGTGCAGCAGAGAAGGATTTGTCACCTGTACATGTATTGGTCCTTGGAACTGCGAGTAGTGCTGGGTCATTGCTTGATCGGAGCCCTGGTCTTGCTGTTTGATGCTTACGTAAGAGTTTCGTGAGGTAGTTGGGAGCAGAATTATTAAGACATTTGTATGTAATAGTCAGAATTTTGTATGTTATGCGCTTTTCAACGGGGAGCCAAAATAAAATGAAGGCATAAAAATCGTTTTACAGCTCACATTTGTATAAATATAACAATACATTAACATATCATAGACAGTAAGTACAAATAACATAAATAACATAACAATGTAATATAATTTAACCTCTCTGTTGAGAGCCAGGGGAATTTTTTGATTATTTGTACTCCCCTGGCTCCCAACAGACAATATTAACTTAAATAATTAGCAGAAAATGTACATGACAACAATCAATGTCATATAACATATAAATATAACAAGTCACAGCAAAGATCTAAAAATCAATTATGCATCAATTGTTAAAAATTTCAGATAAAAACTGCTTATTTTGGGTAGCAGACATAAACTAAAAGTACATCATACTGGATGGTAAAGAGGAAAGACAAGAGAGAGAACGAGAGAGAGAGAAAGGGAGAGAGAAAGGGAGAAAGGGAAAGGGAAAGAGAGAGAGAGAGAGAGAGAGAGTAGAAGAGAGGAACAGTTCAGTGTGAGATGATGCATATACAGTTTCATTCAAAACATTGCTTTGTAATAGACATTATTTATATTGCACCTGTGCTTAGTACTGTTACATTTATGAAACACTGCTATGCATGCCAAGAAATACAAATACAACTGTATGCTAGTACATGTGCAGTACATATAGATGGTGGATACACTGTACAGTTGAAAGAAGAAAATTGATGCCAGATAGAAGAGGCTAGAAGAGAGACAAGAAGGAAAGAAGAAGAAGAAAGAAAAGTGGAGAAAAGGAAAGAGAGGGAAGAAAGGAAAAGGAGGAAAAGTGAAGTGTGAGATATTGAAAATATTGTTGAAATAAATTGAACTGAATTGATGAGTCCACATGTCACTTACACACTACCAACCACCCAACCATAACAGCAGGGAAGACCCCCTCCCCCTTGACCTTATACAAGCTGACCCATCTTCACCCCCTGTACTTCCAGGATATGAAGAGAGAGAGACAGACAGACAGACAGAAAGAGAGAGAGAGAGAGAGAGAGAGAGAGAGGGAGAGATATATGTAGGATAGAGAGAGAGAGAGAGAGAGAGAGAGAGAGAGAGAGAGCAGAAGAAGACAGAGGAGAGAGAGAGAGAGAGAGAGAGAGAGATAGAATGAGAGGGTAGGGGATCGTACTTGGGGGTGTACAGGGTCATTCATCTACAGAAATTGTTGTTAAACACTTTCATTGCAC